ACAAATCTTGAAACCCAACGGCTTTTGGCAGAAATGCATCTGGCCCCTGCAGTAGGTCATCGGTGCTGGGCCAACCCAGGTGGGAATAGGTTTTGTGCCTTGGCCTGTTCCCCCTGGCGGCCCAGTGACCTCAATCCTTCAGAGGCCACTGGATAGTCAGGTTTGGGCCCCCAGTGATGAGACACGCAGGGCCTCACGGGATGAGGGTGGAGCCGGGCCTGTCCTCCCCACCCCAACGATACCCCAAATCATCGCCCACGAACGGATCTCTGGCTCCTGATAAAGCTGCTTAATGGCCATGATCCCAGAGACTCAGAAACAAATCTCGAAACCCAGCGGTGTTTGGCAGAAATGCGTCCAGACCACACAGTAGGTTACTGTCGTCGGGCCACCCCAGGGGGGAAAGGGTGCTGTCCCTCCGCCTGCTTCCCCCGGCGGCTCAGTGGCCATCATCCTCCAGAGGCCACTGGACAGTCAGGCTTGGACCTGCAGTGAGGAAACTTGTTGGGCCTCACGGGATGGGGGGGAGCCGGGCCTGTCCTCCCCACCCCAACGAGACCCCAAGTCATCGCCCACGGATGGCCTCTCTGGCTCCTGATCAAGCTGCTTAACGGCCATGATACCAGAGACTCAGGAGCAAATCTCGAAACCCAGTGGCTTTTGGCAGATTTAAGTGTTAACATTTCAGAACTTTAAAATCACATGGCCTACTGCAGCCATGTGACATGTTATTCATAACCAGCAATAGAACACAAATTGTCTACTGTTGTCTTTTCAGCAGATCCTAGTATTGGGGTAAAATCTCAAATAATAATGGTGGGTCTGGTGTCAAAATATTGAATGTGTTCAAAGTAGAGAGAGAGTAATGTGGAAATCATCTGCCCCACAGGTAGGGGGAGGGTGTGGGTCGGGGGTATACTGGGGTTTTTGGTGGTGGAGAATGGGCACTGGTGAAGGTACGGGTGTTTCATTGTATGACCGAGACTTAGACCCGAAAGCTTTGTAACTGCTCTCATGGTGATTCAATAAATAAAATTATAAAAAATGGAAAAAAAACCAATATTGTAAATAATATTCTGTATTATATCACTGTGCAGAATGTTCCAAAGATATCAAAGTAAAACCTCTTCTAGATATAGGAAATGTTTTAAGTGATCTTTTATGACTTAGATTTTGTTTTTTAGAAATTTTTTCCTTTCAAAATTTTGTTTTCTGTTTCTTGTGTGTATATAGACATACATATACACCTTTATCTCACATAGTTCTGAAAACAAAAACATATAAACAAGGAAATAAAACAGTAAAATTCTTCAAATGATATAAAGACTAGAGGCAAATCTGAGATTTGGTCTAATTCCAAGTTAATCACTCCCAGTTCCTCTTGTACCTCACTTCCTGTGTTTTCCCCCAGATGTCTGCTCTGCTGTGTCCCTGTGCTTTCTTTCTGCGTTTGTGCTTTCTTTCTGCCCGCTGTTTCCTTTCATGCATTCAGGAAACTCATCTTGCTGAACATCTAGTTTTTATTTCAAATGTTACCTTCTTTGTTTTTCCTTTATCTAGCTTCTTCAATTAAAATCAGCCATTGTGTTTTTTTTTCCCCCTGTAGAATGTTTAGCATATTTGTACAGTATCTCCACACCAGACTGTTCCCCCCACATTCCTCACATACACAGGGGGGAAGCATTGAAACTGTCTACTTGTCTTTATTGAGTGAATTATTCCATAAGCGCCAATCATTCCCATAGTATTTAAATACGTGTATGTTTCTAGTGGATATATATTGTTAAAACCTTTTCCTATTCCAGTAATTTGAAGGAAATTTCTTTTTTTTTTTAATTTATTTATTTATTTATTGAATCACCATGGGAAAGGTTACAAAGCTTTCAGGTTTAGGTCTCAGTCATGCAAATATCAAGCACATTTCCCTTTACCAAAACTTATTTTTTACCATGAGGAACCCCAATAAAACCCCACCCCCCACCCCTCCCAGTCCCTGTGGGGCAGATGAATTCTAGTTAACACTCTATCTGCTTTGATTAGATTCATTGTTTCAATAAAAGATTCACCACTATTATTTAGAGTTTACCCCCCCCCCCCCCGAATCAGACATGCTGACAAAGCATTGTGAAGTGATTTGCTTTCTACAGCTGGGTTCAAGAATTAAATGTTGGTTTTGGATTTCTGTTATTTTACTTATTGACCCTGGAAGTATTTATACTGAAAGTCAGATAGTTAAGAAATTGGTTTCTGTGCTCTGGAGTCGTGGCCGTGCTGGAGAACCGCTAGTGGGGGGCAACTGGTGGCCTCGGTAGGGCGTGAAGGGCGGGCCGAAACGCCCCCCTTCCCATGAGGTTTTAGTCGCCCCCAGTCCCCCGGCTCATACCTGCTGTCCACAAGGCTCCCATGCGGCCGCCATCTTTCTTTCCAGAGAGGAGAAGGCGACTGGGGCAACACCCTTTCCCCTCCGGACAAACATGATAGCCTGGATTAACGCATAGTCCTTTCACTTTTCTGCTCCAAGCTGTCGGGTTCTGCATTAAGTCCTTGTGCTTCTGGGGCCGTGGCCATGCTGGAGAGCCGCTCGCGGGGGGCAACTGGTGACCTCGGTAGGGCGCGAAGGACGGACTGGAACGCCCCCCTTCCCATGAGGTTTTAGTCGCCTCCAGTCCCCCGGCTCATACCTGCTGTCCACAACGCTCCCATGCGGCTGCCATCTTTGTTTCCAGAGAGGAGAAGGCGACTGGGGCAACACCCTTTCCCCTCCGGACAGACCTGATGGCCTGGATTAACGCATAGTCCGTTCACTTTTCTGCTCCAAGCTGTCGGGTTCTGCATTAAGTCCTTGTGCTTCTGGGGCCGTGGCCGTGCTGGAGAGCCGCTTGCGGGGGGCAACTGGTGACCTCGGTAGGGCGTGAAGGACGGACCGGAACGCCCCCCTTCCCATGAGGTTTTAGTCGCCCCCACTCCCCTGGCTCATACCTGCTGTCCACAAGGCTCCCATGCAGCCGCCATCCTTCTTTCCAGAGAAGAGAGGGAGAATGGGGCAACACCCTTTCTCCTCTGGCAGACTTGATGGCCTGGATTAACGCATGGTCCGTTCACTTTTCTGCTCCAAGCTTCCGGGTTCTGCATTAAGTCCTTGTGCTTCTGGGGCCGTGGCCGTGCTGGAGAGCCGTTTGTGGGGGGCAACTGGTGACCTCGGTAGGGCATGAAGGACGGACCGGAACGCCCCCCCTTCCCATGAGGTTTTAGTTGCCCCCATACCCTCGGCTCATATCTGCTGTCCACAAGGCTCCCATGTGGCCACCATCTTTCTTTCCAGAGAGGAGAGGGCGAATGGGGCAACACCCTTTCCCCTCCGGACAGTCATGATGGCCTGGATTAACGCATAGTCCTTTCACTTTTCTGCTCCAAGCTGCTGGGTTCTGCATTAAGTCCTTGTGCTTCTGGGGCCGTGACCGTGCTGGAGAGCTGCTTGCGGGGGGCAACTGGTGACCTCGTTAGGGCGTGAAGGATGGACCAGAACGCCCCCTTTCCCATGAGGTTTTAGTCGCCCCCACACCCCCGGCTCATACCTGCTGTCCACAAGGCTCCCATGTGGCCACCATCTTTCTTTCCAGAGAGGAGAGGGCGAATGGGGCAATACCCTTTCCCCTCCGGACAGTCATGATGGCCTGGATTAATGCATAGCCCGTTCACTTTTCTGCACCAAGCTGCTGGGTTATGCATTAAGTCCTTGTGTTTCTGGGGCTGTGGCCGTGCTCCAAACTTAACTATGATTTTCAGAGACAAACGTTGGGTCATTTACTTCCCATGGATCACTTTGTATATAGAGAGATGTCGCGCGGCCGCGTGAGCGGCTGCGCGGTTTTGAGGAAAAGTCCTAGTTCCCGCATACTCGAGCTGTGGTTGTAGAGGCTTCTGGTCACCGGGGTTCCATCTGGGGGAGGCGGGATGCGGTACCTACCCCATCTGGGGCTTCCCGATGATCTCGGCTCTTTTTGGAACCTGTTTTTTTTTTTTTTTTCTTTCTTCGGGATCTGTGGATCCCGCCCTCCATGTTGTTCTTCTCTTCAGCTGAATGCTGTAAATATGGCCTGAAGGAAATTTCTATGTAAATTTTCTTTCTTGTGTCATTTGAAGATAAGAAAATGCTTTGCTTTATTTTTTTGGGTTTTTTTGTTTTGTTTTGTTTTTGTTTTTTTTTTTTCTTTTTGGGTCACACCTGGTGATGCACAGGGATTACTCCTGTCTCTGCACTCAGGAATTACTCCTGGCGTTGCTCGGGGGACCATATGGAATGTTGGGAATTGAACTCGGATCAGCTATATGCAAGGCAAATGCCCTACCTGCTGTGCTATTGCTCCAGCCCTGCGTTATTTTGTTTTGCCTTTCACATACAGTATATTTTTGGAAAGCTGTTTCCTGACTTCTAAAGTTATACTTTGTGTCTTTAGTATTAAACCATTTTACTGTGACTATGCTGTTATAAGCAAAGATCAAATCTTGCAGTGTGCTGCAACTTGAATGGAACTGGAGCACGTCAGGTTTAGTAAAATAGATGAGATTGAGAAGGACCAATATCAAATTATTTTACTCATCTGTGGTATGCAGAGAAATAAAACAAGGGAATACATAATATTGAATGAGGGTATATCCTTAGCCTTTTGATTTTAGAAATGAAATTACCAAGCATTGGGGTAGCAGAGTAGAAGGAAGGAGATGACTAGGGGTGACATGGAACAGTGGTAAAGGGTCAGTAACTTTATACTTGAAGACCAGTAATGTTAACACAGTTGCAACCATGTAGAAAAAAATATCAATAAAACAATTTTTAAAAAAATAAATGTATTATTACCAGATATCCTTGGACGTTATGAGAAAACAAAACAAAAAGTTCCAAAATCTGTCATAAAGCTGTTTTGTTTTGAATAATTAAGGAACTATATGAACCCTTAAGTATGGATCAAGTAATGTATTTTTTTCTTTGTAACATTTAGGAGGAAGATGAACAACAAAGACTTAATAAGAGAAAGGATCATAAAAAAACAGAAGTCGAGGAAGAAGTAAAAGTACCAGTAGTGTGTGCTCTGACTCAAGAAGAAACTTCAGCCCAGTTATCAAATGAGGAGGTAAAGCACTGTAGCCCTGTAGCCCTGTTTCCCGTTGTTCATCGATTTGCTCGAGTGGGAGCCAATCAAGTCTCCATTGTGAGACTCGTTACTGTTTTTGGCACATCCAGTACGCCATGGGGAGCTTGCCAGGCATACGGCCTGGGTGTGCCGCGGGCTGTATGTATGAGGGAGGAGGCCGCGGGCTGTATGTATGTCTGGGGGAGGCTTGTGGCTCAAGCACCTCCGAGAGGCGGCCCCGGGTCTGGGGCTCCGGAGGTAGGGAGACGAGGGAGGTTCTGCTCAAGGCCACATGAGGAAGTATAGTGATCTAAATTAAAATTAGTATATAAATGAGATACTACATTTTCAGCTTTTCCTACACCAGTTACACTGTTTGTATAGGAAGAACATAGAGACCTATTCGCTAGAAATTAAATAGTATGCTATCCAGTTTATGTTTGTTTTTATAGTATATAGACAAGGTCTTTGTAACATGTTGCGGTTTTTTTCATTGTCTGCCCTTTTTTGCCAGAGGTTCCAAAATTAAAACATTAGATGAATTTTTAAATGATTTTGCAAAATATTTTCAATATGAATGATTAATGTTGCTAATATTTTGAGCTTTTTGCTTAAAAGAGTAAATCTGAAGTAAAGAAACACTTAACTTCCTATAGGATACGTTTGGGTGTTTAACAACCAATATTGGATCTTAAGGGCAGAGAATAGTGGTTCAGTTTTAAGAGCTGATGAAGGACAGGTTCGAATATTTTCCAGTACTGGGAATGGATAAAGTAGAGACAGTTGAAGTAGAAATTTTATATATATATATATATATACACATATATATACACATATGCATATATACACACACACACACACATATATATATATATATATATATATATATATTACAGTTTCAGACAACAAATTTTTGTGCTTGGGTTTCAGTTATACAATGGCCGAGTATCCATCCCTCCACCAGTGCCCATCTTCCACCACCACAGGTCCCAGCATCCCTCCCACCCCCCATTCCCCCCATCCCACCCTGCCTCTGTGGCAGGGCATTCCCTTTTGTTCTCTCTCTCTCCTTTTGGGTTTTGTGGTTTGCAAGAGAGGCATTGAGTGGCAATCATGTTTGGTTTATAGTCTACTTTCAGCATGCTTCTCCCATTATGGGAGGATCCTCCCAACACCCTTTATTTGGTGCTCCCTTCTCTATCTGAGCTTCCTTTTCCCCTAGCACGTGTGGTTGGCCTCCAAGTCATGGAGCAAAATTCCTGGTACTAGTCTTGGCCACTCTTGGGTGTTAGTCTCCCATTATGTTACTATATGTTCCCCAGATAAATGCAATCTTTCTGTGTCTATCCCTCTCTTTCTGACTCATTTCGCTTAGCATGATACTTTCCATGTAGTACCACTTGTATGTAAATTTTATGACTTCATCTTTTCTAACAGCTACATAGTACTCCATTATGTAACTGTACCAAAGTTTCTTTAACCAGTCATCTGTTCTTGGGCATTCAGGTTTCTTCCAGTTTCTGGCTATTGTAAAGAGTGCTGCAATGAACAAACAAGTGCAGATGTCACTTCGACTATACTTTTTTGCCTCTCTGGGATATATTCCCAGGAGTGGTATTGCTGGGTCAAATGGGAGCTCAAATTCTAATTTTTTGAGAATTGTTCATACTGTTTTCCAAAAGGGTTGGACCAGTCAGTTGGACCTTCACCAGCAGTGAAGGAGGGTCCCTTTCTCGCCACATCCGTGCCAGCACCAGTTGCTTTTGTTCTTTTGGATGTGGGCCAGTCTCTGTGGTGTGAAATGATATCTCATTGTTGTTTTGATCTGCATCTCCCTGATGTAGAAATTTTAAGTGGTTTTCCTGGTCCAGTCACTTTTTCTGATGGTCGGGTGTATGGGGCCACACACGGTGGTGCTCGGGGACTACTGGCTTTGCACTAAGGGATCATTCCTGTGCCGGGGATCTAACTGTGGTCAGTTACATGCAATGCAAATGCCTTACCTCCTGTTACAATCTCTTTGGCCCCTGATGTCATCACCTCTCACTCACACTGTTATTAAGGTTGGCTTCATATGGGGCCATTGCAATAATATAGTGGGCAGGGCATTTGCCATGCAAGCAGCTGACCTAGGTTCAATGCCTGGCATTTGATATGAATTCCCAAGCACCACCAGGAGTGATTACTGAGTGTAGAGCTAGGAGTAATCATTGAGCACCACTCAGTGTGACCCCCCAAAAAAGATTATTTTCTTAGCTTTCCTCACCAGTGCACTACACCAACTGACCATTACTGTAACACTAATTTATTTTTTTATTTAAAAAATTGTCATTTAAGAACCATGATTCACAAAGTTATTGATAGTTCAGTTTTAGACATAAAATGTTCTAGCACTAGTGTCAGTTTCTCTCAACCAGTATTCCCAAGTTCCCTCCCACCTCCCACCTCCCACCCCTACTCCAGCCTGCCTCCTTGATAGGCACATGTTAAAGTTTGGTGATTGTAGTTTGGATTTTGTTTTTTCAATGTTGGGCATATGGTTTGGAGATATAAATATATACATATATGTATATATGCATATATGTAAATATATACACATACATACATGAGGAATGGCTATGCCATTCTTCAACATAATGTATCTGAGGCCCCCCAGCCTCTGCTCCCCTGTTACTTCCCTTTCTCATCTTCCTCCTCACTTCCTTTGATTTCTTTCCTTCTCTGTACTTTTTATACTCTGGGGTCAAGGATGATCTAGGCATCCCCCATATTTACAACATTACATTCCCTCATCCAGTTATTCTATTTGCCACAGATAAGTGAGATCATACTCTATTTTTCGTCTTGGCTTACTTCACTCAACATGATAACTTTCAGTTCCATCAAGGTTGTAGCAAATTGCATGATTTCATCGTTCCTTGCAGCTGCATAGTGTTCCATTGTGTATAGACCATATCTCCATACTCCTTCATCTGTTGTTGGACAGCTAGGTTGATTCCATAATTTAGCTATTGTACTAAGTGCTACTATGAATAATGGTGTGTATATTTTCTTTTGAATGAATGTTTTCATATCCTGAGGATAGATACCCAGCAATAAAATTGCTGGATCATAGAGCAGCTCAATTTAAGTTTACTCCAAATCCTTTTCTGCAGGAGTTGAACCAGACAACGTTCCCAACAGCAGTGGATCAGAGGAGCTTTTTCACTACCTTCTGTGAACACAGTGTTTCCATTTCCTTACTTGTGATTGACCTGGTCAGGCTTTCTACTTCCTCTTTGTTCAGCTTCTGGAGATTATATGTCTAAGAATTTTTTCCATTTCTCCCAGATTCTCCATTCTCCAGTGTAAAGTTCATAGTAATCTCATTATATATTGAATTTCTGGAGACTGTTGTAATTTCTCCCCTTTCATTTCTGATTGGATTTATATGAACATTTTATCCTATTTTCTTTGTGAGTCTTGCTCAAAGTTTATGTGTCTTGTTTATTCTTTGAAAGAACCAGCTTTCTGGTTTCTTTGGTACTTTGAATTGCTGTGTTGGTTTCTATAGTTAATTTCTGCTCTTTTTGCTACCTTCTACTATTTTTCAGGTTCATTTTTGCTATTCCTTCCCCAGACTTTTGTGATGTGTGTTCAGGTTGTGATTTGGGCTTTTTCTTATTTCTTAACGTAGGCATGCGCTGCTTTGGTTATTGCCCTTAGTATTGCTTTTGCAGTATCCCACAGATTCTGATAGTTTGTTTTCATTCTCATTTTCATTGAGTCTTTTTATTTCTTCCTTGATTTTCTCTTTAATCCGGTTGTTGCGTAGTAGTGTTTCGTTCAGTGTCCAAATGTTGAACATTTTCCCCAATCTTTTTGTGGTTACTTTCTGTTTTCATGGCATTATGATCTGGGAGGATACCTTGCATTGTTTCTTTAACTGTAGATTATGTATGTGTGAGTTATGCCCTAGTATGTAATCTATCCTCAAGAATGTTCCATGTGCACTGGAGAAAAATGTGTATTTTGAGAATGGAGAGCCCAGCATATGTCCATATGCCCAGTTCTTCTAGCTCCCCATTTAGGGCTCTTGTCTCTTTACTGATTGATCTGTCTAGTGGTGAACGTGAAGTGTTGAAATCATCCACTGCTATTGTATTTCCATCAGTGTGTTTCTTTAGGTTGTGAGCAGAAGCTTTGTGAATTTTCTTGACACTTCATTTAGTGTATGAATGTTGAACATAGTGCTTCTTCATCTATTATTCCCTTAATAAGTACTGTCTATCACTGTTTCTAATTAATTTCTTTATATTGAATACTATTTGTTCTGATATCATTATGGCCATTGACTTGTGTGATTACTTTTTATTCCTTCACGCTGAATCTGTATTTATCCTATGAGTTTAGGTATATTACCTGTAAGCAACAAATAGATGGGTTCCCCCCCATATTCCACTACTTTATGGCTTTTCATAGGCGAGTTTAGTCCATCCATTGACATTAAGAGATTATTGATAAAAAGGGCAGTGTTGCCATTTTTGTGTATGTGTGTGGAATCAAGTTTTTGTTGCAATATCTGTCTACTTTTTTATAGAAGATCTTTTTTTTTAAATTTTTTAAAAAATTTTTTATTAGTGAAACACCATGAGGTACAGTTGTAGATTTACAAATTTTTGTGCTTGGATTTCGGTCATACCATGATCAAATACCCATCCCTCCACCAGTGCCCATTTTCCACCACCAAGGATAATATCCCTCCCCCCCCCCCCATTCCCCCCATTCCCCCCTGCCACTGTGGCAGGGCATTCCCTTTTGTTTTCTCTCTCCTTTTGGGTGTTGGGTCAGCAAAAGAGGCATTGAGTGGCAAACATATTCAGTCCAGTCTACTTTCAACCTGCATCTCCCCTCCTGGGAGGATCCTCCAAACACCCTCCATTTGGTGCTCCCTTCTCTATCTGAACTGTCCTTTCCCCTAGAATACCTGGCTGGCTATAGAAGATCTTAAGCAATTTTTTACAGGATTGATTTAGCAGCTACAAATGCTGTCAGCTCTTGTTTGTCTGAAAATATTTCTGTCCCTTGAATCTGTGTAGAAGCCTCTCCAAAGACGACGGATGTTCTCAGTTATTATTTTTTCCAACATTCATTCTTTCCATTTCTCTTTTTATCTCCTTTTGGTATTTCTATAATTCAGAGATTATTCCTCTTTATATTATTTATCAAGAATCCTCCATTTATCTGTTTGAAATTGAACTTATATTGCTATGCAGAAGTAACAATATGATAATCAGTATTGTATTTAGAAGTGTGTTGATAGTAATTTTCAGAGATTATGCATTCTTCATAAATAAAAAAAATTTACGTTCTTTTGTGTTTAATTCTGTTCTTTTGCCCCTTCATTATTGTTGATGATTTGTATTTTTGTCTTTAATATCACGAATACGGTTCTCTGCATGTTGAATTATGTTGCTGTGGCTTGCTGTTGTAGTCTTCAACTCCTTCGGTTACATTTGTACAGTCTCTGATGCCCTGGATCAATTTTTCCTTGAGCTGATTGAATTTTTCTTCAAGTGATTTCTTTATTTCTATTGCCAATTGCATGGACTATATTGATTTGAGTTCCTCTTCAGTGAAGCTTGAGGCTTTATTTGAGCTGAATGGTTTGCCAGGGCTTCTGTACCAGTCTGTCAGAGCAGGTGAATTCCTTTGTTTTGTCATCCTTAATTGTGGGTACTGAGAGTTAGAGTTGAGTTTTAGATTTCCAGTCATCTGAGATCTGATCTGATTTGTTGGTTTTTTTTCTTCTTATATTTATTTATTGAATCATTTTGGGAAAAGTTACCAAGCTTTCAGGTTTGTCTCAATCATACAATGATCAAACACCTTTCCCTTCACCAGTACTCATTTTTCACCACCAAAAACCCCAATATACCCCCCACCCACCCCTCCCAATGCCTGTGAGGCAGATGATTTCTACTTAACTCTTCTCTACATTGATTACATTCATTATTTCGACAAAAGATGCACCATTATTGTTTAGAATTCCCCCCCCCCTTCAGAATTGCTGAAAAGGCATTGTGAAATACTTTGTTTTCTATAGCTGGTTATGAGAATCATATAATGTCATATAATGATTTTGGATTTCTGCAAAGAGCCAGATAATTACGAGATTGGTTTCTGTGCGTCTGGTGTTATGGCTGTGCCGGAGAGCTGCTCGTGGGGGGCAACTCGTGACCTCAGTAGGGCGTGAAGGACAAGCCAGTACCATCCCCCTTCCCATGAGACTGCAGTTGCCCCATCACCGCCGGTTCATACCTGGCTTTCCAATAAGCTCTGAGGCGGTGGCCACCTTGTATGCGGTCCAGATGCATTTCTGCCAAAAGTCGCTGGGTTTTGAGATTTGTTTCTGAGTCTCTGGGATCATGGCTGTTAATCAGCTTGATCAGGAGTCAGAGAGGCCATTTGTAGGCGGCAACTCGGGGTCTCTTTGGGATGGGGAGGAAAGGGCCGGTTCCACCCCATCTGGTGAGGCCATGTGTGTCTCGTCACTGCAAGCCCAAAACTGATTGTCCGGTGGCTCTGGAGGATGGCGGTCATCGGGCCGCCCGGGGGAACAGGCCAAGGCACGAAACCTATTCCAACCTGGAGTGGCCCAGCACCAGTACCTCCAGGTACAGGACACATTTCTGCCAAAAGCCTTTGGGTTCCGAGATTTGTTTCTGAGTCTCTGGAATCATGACCGTTAAAGCAGTTCGATCAGGAACCAGAGAGGCCATGCCTCCAATTACATAGCTGAGCCAGAGGTGGTTTGTGAGTGTGTCTCCCACATACCTAACTTTTGGCCGTTTACTTTCTTGGTAAACTTTGCCCCAAGTTTTTGGGGTCTGGCCAAAGGCACAGCAGCAGTTTTGGGGTATCTGAAAATCTGACGGTGCCATCAAGCTGCTGATGCACTCGCCTCACAGGTACAGATTGACCTGCTGGTGGCACCAGACCCCCCCTGATTTGTTGTTTTGCAGTGAGGGTTTACCACATAGAATCTGTTATTTTAACATTTTCTGTGCCCTTGAGATGCAATTTTAAGTGGTCATGCAGGTGACTATCTTTAATTACTCCTGTTATATACCAGAGTTATTATAGAAGTGTCTTAGGACTTATATTAGAACCTACAAGCCCTCAGGGTTTATCAGGTTGAAGGAGTAAATTTGGGTTGGGTCTGAGTACGGGCCACGGGACTAGGGAAGAAGTGACTGGCTCTGGGAGCAGACCATGCTAATTTTTCTTAAGTGTGGCTGAAGTAGGATTCCCTAACTTCACTGATTCCCGTTACTTACATAATTAAGTAAAAATTCCTTCTCAGACACCGAAGCCTTTCTAACATATAATCTGTTTTAGCTGCATTGGCTCTTTAGTGCTGTACTTCTTTTCTTGTTGACTCTTTTATCTGGTATTCTTACCTCCTTTCTGAGTTTTGAGTTCCTTTTGTTCATCTTTCAAGACCCAAGATGCTATCATCAGTGAAAGAAATGGTTCTCTGTTGGAGACCAGGGAAATTGCTCAAAGGGCTGGTATGCATGCTTTGTATCCAGGAGGCCTAGGGTTTGATCCACAGCACTACATGAATCCCTGAGTGCTGCTGGGATAATCCCCTGAGCACTACCAGATGTGTCCAGCAAAATAAAAGTAGGTTCTCTCTCAGCATACTACAGCCTTGCTCAGCTGATTGACCCTTAAATCTTACCATGCTCTGCATTGTATCACAGCCACACCTTTCTGTTCATTATCCATGTTTGTATGCCATGTTTCTACTGTGTCCCTGCTATTTAGAATTTCTACTCAACTTTCTGACTCTCTATTCCCAGCATGGTGAACCTGTTTCAGATAAGTTGGGAAATTGTCTTTTCTTACATGCTGTGTTTTTTGGTTTAGTCTGAAGATTTACCCTGAGCTATGTAAAGTCTACTTACTGGTAGCTTTTATTTTTATATTTATGAGTTGTTTCACAAAAAATGTTTTTAAAAGTATGTGTGAACGTTGTGATGTAACTTTTTTTTTTTTCATTTTCTTTGTTTGGATTACACACAGAAGCCTCTTGGCCTTATTATGTTGTGTACTTAGTTTTGGGTGATTGACAGATAATACGTAATTTCTGCCATTATACACTGTCCAGAAATGCTTGAAAAAGTTTCAGATGTAAAAAATACATATTTTGCAGAAAATAAGAGAAGATGTGTTGTGATTTACAATGTATTTGTATTTTAATTTTATCTTTTACAGTATATATCATATAATGCACATGACTTTATTACTGATATTTTAAGTGTATTTTTGGCTTTGAGATAGGATTTTTATTATCATTATTGGTTCTAGTTTGGGAGCTATACTTGACAGCACACTCATAATTCAGTTCTCTGAAATCACTCTTGGTGGTGCTGAGGGGACCATAAGGGATGCTGGGGATCAAACTCAGCAGGTTCAGGTCAAGTGCCTTACCCATGTACTGTCACTCTAGTCCTCAAATATGATGTTTTGCAGTTTGAATTGAGTATATTTGTTTTGTGTTAAAAGTTATGATGATTTACTGTGTAGTATATGTGCTGCTGATGTAAGCTAAGACAGTTTAGTATAGCTTGTTGATTTAAGTTAATATCAAATGCTTTGGAACTTAGATTTATTGCTGAAGACATTTAAAATTTGTAGGACTTTAGCATTTTTTATTGTTTCCTGGTTCTGAAGATAAAATACATCCTTCTAGATTAGGGAGGAGGCTCAGCAGTAGAGTGCTTACCTTGCATGAGTGAGACTCCAGGTTCATCTCTGGCACAGCAAACAAACAAGCAGACAAATATTATATGTCTCTTTCTGTTTGCACTTTTAAAATATAACCTGGGCTGGAGTGATAGCACAGTGGGTAGGGCATTTGCCTTGCACGCGGCTGACCCAGGTTTGATTCCCAGTATCCCATATGGCCCCCTGAGCACCGCCAGGGATAATTCCTGAGTGCAGAGCCAGGAGTGACCCCTGTGCATCGCCGGGTGTGACCCAAAATGCAAAAAAAATAAATAAATAAAATATAAACCAGAGTGCACATTTATAAATACTTTCCGTTAAAATCAAACTATTTAAAATTTTCAATATTCAGTGCGTATGCTGCCCGAGCCCATGTCCTGCTTGTGCCCACGTGGCTGAGCACATGTGGTGCCTGAGCACATGTGGCACCCACATCCCCCCTCTTGAGATGTGTACTTTTTTGTCTAATGCTGGAGTGTGTGTAAGAGCTCTCTCTGCCCTTGGAGAAGCCTACATTCTCTCTTGAGCGCATTACTATCTTGCTCACTTTTCCTCCCTCCTTACCTTTAAAAACCTCTAAATAAAATCTCTTCTACCTCAAAAAATAAATACATAAAAATAAAAATTTCAGTATTCAAACATCCTACCCAGACCGTCCCTGATTACTATGTCTAGATCAGATTCTTCAGCCTTCAGATAATTCAGTCAGTACATAGCTTCATTATGCCATTTTATTAAATATGATATTCTCATAACTCACTGCCACTCTTTTCATGAAACTGAACGTCTTGAGGTCAGAGATTGCATATTCAATTCTGAATGACAAGTGCCTGACATAGAATAGACTTAATAATTGTTCATTTAATTGAGCATAGGACAGTAGCATACTAACATTCATCATGTATAGTGTCGCACAATACTTTTAATGTATGGTAGTTTTCTTTTCTCACAGAGAATAGAGAATTGTCCAACTTGGCAATTTTTTTTTCCACCTTTCAGGAGCATTTAGATAGCACTCATGGTTCAGTCCATTCCTTAGACGCAGACTTACTTTTGCCATCTGGAGATCCATTCAGTAAATCGGACAATGACATGTTTAAGGATGGACTCAGGAGAGCACAGTCTACGGACAGCTTGGGAACCTCAAGCTCACTGCAATCCAAAGCTTTAGGCTATAACTACAAAGCAAAATCTGCTGGAAACCTGGATGAATCAGATTTTGGGCCATTGGTAGGAGCAGATTCGGTGTCTGAAAACTTTGATACTGCCTCCCTTGGGTCACTGCAAATGCCAAGTGGGTTTATGTTAACCAAAGATCAAGAAAAAGCGATCAAGGCTATGACACCAGAACAAGAAGAGACAGCGTCTCTCCTCTCCAGTGTCACACAGGGTATGGAAAGTGCGTATGTGTCCCCCAGTGGTTACCGCTTAGTCAGTGAGACGGAATGGAATCTCCTACAAAAAGAGGTGAGTTTTCTTTCTGACTTCTCCCTCTCATTCTCTTAGCAGGGTTCTAGAAAGCTCCTGGATTCATTGTTTATTCAATAGTTAGTAAATGTTAATCCATATTGTGTGATCTTTATTATTGTTCTTTGACTGTTCCAGATAATTATGGCAGAGAAGGGAACTAACTTGCTAATCACTTATAGTGTGACTTTTCTGCCTTAAGTGCCTACTCTGACTTTGGAGCAGTTTGCTTGTATAGCATAACAGAATTGGTTAGAAAAGCCTAAATTTGGTTTGCAGGGAGTGTGTGGTGATTTGGGCCACTCCCAGAAGAGCTCAGTGATTCCTTTTGGCTCAGTTTTCAGGGGTTATGCCTGAACACTTTGGGGACACCATTGTGATTCTAGGGATCAGATCAGGGTCAGTTGCATGCAAGGCAAGCACCTTGTCTCCTGTACTATCTCTCTTCGCATTTTTTTTTCTGTAATCACAATGCGTACTCTTTATTTTTCTTGATACCTAAATTTCAAGTGCTGGAGCCAGAGAGATAGTTGAGAGCTTTAGATTGCATGCAGGAGGCTTGCCACAGGCAAGGCGAGCGCTGTACCGTATATTGCTCTGGCTCCCCCGCCAGTCCCCCCAACCCTCCACAAGGCAGCTTTTAATGGAATTAATTTTCCTCCAAATAGTATCTGCAAACTCAAAAGTCAGATTAGGAGGTAAAACTTAAATGTGTGTCTGCATAGTGCTGTACAGTCTTCAAAGCCCTTCCAAGTACTTCACCTCTTTTTGAGCTTCATGGTAATCATGAGAATCAGGGCATGATTGTCTCCATTTTACAAATGAGGAAATTCCCTCTGACAGGTCAAGTAAGTTGCTCAAGGTTTTTGTTTTGTTTTGATTTTTTATGTTCTACCAAAATTTGGGTTAGAATCTAGGTTTTCTGACTTCCAGTACTTTACTAGGCCTATTGATCAGTAAGCAGAACAACTTAGTAACCCGAAAGAAACCATTGCCTTAATATTATAGAAAACACATGTGAAAGGCCTACTTAATAATTAATATCTACTTTATAATTGATAAAGTGGTGAATTGATTGGGTAGCATGTATTTAAATTTTGAGTACCATGGTGTAGTATCTTGTGCTTGCTTGTGTTTAACTGTGTTCCTGTGCCGGGGAGGTATCTCAAAGGACTGGAGAAGAGAATACCTGGTGACTGTTTAGTCTCCTGAGGACCACCTTGTAAGTCCCACAAATTTAAAAATAAACAGGGGAGGGATGAGACATTATACATGGAGTAATCCACTAGACTCGCGTGTGGCCAACCCTGGTTTGGTCTCAGACACTGCATATTGTCCCCCATAACTACTAGAAGTTATCCTTGAATACAGAGCCAAAAATATCCTCTGAGCACTGCCCCAAAATTACCAGAAACACAAAACAAAAGAAACTGTCCCTTGTTTTTATGTTACACTTGTTTTGAAACTTATGAGTTTTTTAATATTCTTTTTTGTCTGTTTGTTTTGGAGCGGCAGTGCTCAGGGTTTACTTCTGGCTCTGTGTTCAGGGATCACTAATCACTAATGGTGGGGCTTAGGGAATACTGGGAACTGAAATTGGACCAGCTACATGCAAGGCAAACAAACTACCCACTGTACTACTGCTCGGTCACCTAGAATATTCTATTTTGTAACTCTTTTCCATGAGTCTCTGAATAAAGTATTAATGCTGTATACAAAGTAATACAGACAGGCATATGTTTCTCCTGTATATGTTGTAGAATTATTTTGTTCTGCCTGACAGAAGGTAATTTTGGTGCCCTTCAGGTACATAATGCTGGAAATAAACTCGGTAGACGTTGTGATATGTGTTCTAATTATGAGAAACAGTTACAAGGAATTCAGATTCAGGAGGCTGAAACAAGAGACCAGGTGAGTTTCTTTTGGATATTCCAAATTGATAAGCGATTGTATTTTTCATAGATAGTGCAGAATTAGCTGATTTGGCGGGGCAGAGGGGCTGGGACTTTCCATGTGCTTTATGAATTCTTGTTAAAATTGAAATTCTTGTTAAACATGAAATAATCCAGCCCAGGCAACGGAAGTTACATTTTAGATTCTTTTTCTGTAACTTTGCTTTATATGCTTGCTCAGTATCACATAGGTCGACTTAGCTCTTACGGTAGTGCTGGCACATCTCAAACCTAACCCTTTAACCCAACACCTAAAAGTGATCTTGCCATGAACATATAGATAAGTACTTAGAGATGTGAAAATTTAGGAAGATCATACTGACTATTAACTCTAACTGAATAAAAGCTTAGTTGGTTATTAATCAGTATTTGAACTCTTAATTGTTTATTCCCTTAACCCACATGTATTTTTTTCCACAGATGGTTCAAAGGTAAATTTCTAAAATTACTTGTGAAACTAATATAGTTGGCTTCTGATAGGGTGGTTTGGAAATTGATTACTTTGGATCCCATAATTATTTCAGTACACATTTTACTGATACTTCATCCATGCCTGGCATTCTGCTGTGCCCTGGGTAGCCTGAGACAATGTGCTACTGTCCATAAGGAACTTTCAGTATGGCCAACCAAGTTATCAGTTGAATGTATTTTATTCCTATTGAGGTGCATCTATAACTGGAGGAGGGGCAGTGGCATCTAACTTTACTATGCACCAGGGAAGGTCACTCTTTTTTCCTTCCGCTTTTTGGGTCATACCCGGCGATGCATAGGGGTTACTCCTGGCTCTGCACTCAGGAATTACTTCTGATGGTGCTCAGGGGACCATATGGGATGCTGGGAATCGAACCCGGGTCGGCCACATGCAAGGCAAATGTCCTATACACTGTGCTATTGCTAATTAGGAAAAGAAATGGGGAAAGGTTGTTCAAGTAGAAGATGTACAAAGAAATGGAGTTGTGAGCGAAAATGTTGTGTTTTGGAAAATATGAATAGTTCATGTGATGAGAGAGAAAAAAGAAGGGAGAGAATGTAAATAATGGGAGAGGAAGCTACAAAGGCAAAACCATGATAAGATCTCTGAGGGAGGGTAGTGATTGAAGGGATTTAAATTTTATCCCAAAGACTTTGAAAAACATTTAGGGATTTTAAATAGAGAAATTTTCTTTGAATTTTATTTTAGTTATTTTACAGTTTTGGGGCTGCACCCAACATTACTTCAGGGCTTACTCCTTGTCTGCACTCAGGGATCACTCCTGGCAGGCTCAGGGGACTATATGGGCAGGGAGGGGTGTTGGTAATCTAATCCAGGTTGGCTGTATGCAGTGCAAATGCCCTACCCACTGTATTATCACTTGGGCTCCTGAATTTTATTTTGGAATAAAACCTTTGGGGACTAGAGCTAGTACGGTGGATAGAGAGTTTCCACTGCATGGAGTTGACCCAGGTTTACTCCCTGGTAACCATATGGTCCCCTGAGCATCGCTTGGTGTAACCCCACCCCCCCCGCCCCCACCCCCACCCCTACACGATTGTTTCAGTATGGGCTGTAGATTAGAAGCAATGATAGATCATAGAGTTAGGGAATCCAGTGATAGATCATAGAGTTAGGGAATCCAAACCTTAGAGGATCTAGAGCTTCCATTTAAATGAGACAGTCTATGTAAAACATGTTTTAACTGTAAGAGTACAGTTGGTCACTCAATCTTTTCTGAATGGGTAAATTTGGTATTTCTAAGCAGAAATACTCCATTTTGGGAGGGCATCAGGGAGATACAAAGGGCCAAAGTGCATGCCTTGCATTTGGAATCTCTGAACTGATTCTTGGCTTTGCATAGCTGCCTAAGCATTGTTGGGGTAGTTCTGGTGAGACCCAGTACTGTGAGACACAAGAAACACCATATTGTCAGGCTTTTGCACTGCTAGACTAAGTGTCACAGAGAATGACACCCAGACCCCCAGGTTCTGCTGGGATTCTCCCTTCCCCCAATTATATTTAAAAATTATCAGAGTTAGGGAATAATCTTTACTTTATAAAAGAATTCTTGTACCTCCTTCTAATTGATAATTTCAATTGCATAGGTCAAAAAACTACAGATGATGCTAAGGCAAGCAAACGACCAGTTAGAGAAGACAATGAAGGATAAACAGGAACTGGAAGACTTTATCAAGCAGAGCACTGAAGATTCAAGTCATCAGGTAAATGAAAATTTTAAGAATGTGACCCAAGGGGGAGTGGGCTAGAGCGATAGCACAGCAGTAGGGCATTTGCTTTGCACGCAGCCAGCCTGGCCGAGCCGGGTTCGATTCCTCCACCCCTCTCCGAGAGCCCGACAAGCTACAGAGAGTATCTCGCCCGCACGGCAAAGCCTGGCAAGCTACCCATGACATATTCAATATGCCAAACACAGTAACAACAAGTCTCAAAATGGAGATGTTACTGGGCCTGCTCAAGCAAATCGATGAACAACGGGACGACAGTGTTTTGTTTGACCCAAGGGGGATGGCTGAGTTGTTTAAAAAAAAATTCTGAAAATACAATGATGTGTTTCTTGCTCCAAAAATGTCATGTTCTTACTAACTTCATATGTATCTTCTAATAGTCCTGTGGTACCTGTTTTATAGGTTTTTAGAAACAGCTTTAAAAATATTTGGTTTGAGACTAGAGTGATAGTACAGCAAGGAGAGCATAGCTGCCTTACACATGGCTGCCCTGAGTGTAATCCCTAGCACCCCTTTTAGTCCCCTGAGCCCACCAGGAGTGATTTCTGAGTAAACTCTGAGCACTGCCAGGTGCAGCCCCACAAAATAATAATATTGGTTAATGAATATTAGGAGACTGATTCTTTTTTCTTAAGTTCTTTATTTTCTACTGCACAAGAAGCTTGCTGACAAAGATAATCTTCTTTTGTAAAGTTTAGCATCTGTAGGAAAACATAAATTTTAAAATTTTAACGTACTATAACTTTTAACCACCTTTAACTATGAACACCAGTTGAGTGGGACTAATAGAACATTAGCTGATACCGTAGAGGCCTTAAGCTTCGTTTTCCACTTACTGCCCCTTTCCCAGAAGTGAGTATCATCACATACTATGTTGATTACTTAACTCTTATTTTTAAAAATTGTGTATCATGTTTTTATTGGGACAGCATTTGTTTATATGTTTATATTTGTCTACCTCCATTCAACATTGTGACTGTTCTCTTTGTATTGCTTATAGCACTAGTTTTTAAATTCCATTGGGATTTAGTTGTACAAAGTTTATCCATCTTATTGTTGAACATTTGAATTTTTAAAGTTTTCTGATATAAGTAATTCTTCTTTGAAATACTAAATAGGACTGTTGCATATGTGGGTATAGTAGTGGAATGCCTGGGTCAAAATCTTTAAAATATACAAATTTTTAGAAAATTGTATGGCCAAATAGTTTTCCAAAGTATTTGTATGACTTTATACTCCCACCAGCAATGTATGAGAATTCCTGTGGGTCCGCAAACTTGACAAACTTTTATTGTTACTCATTTTATTGGGTGGGTGTCATTTTGGGGGTGTAGTGAAATGTAATGGCATTTCTTTGTGACTTAGTTTGCATTTTTGTGATGAGCATTGAGATTATTTGCCATTTTTTCATGTTTATTGACCATTAGGATAGCAGAGAGAGAGATGCTAATTTTTTTCCATCTGTTTTGTATGTTTCTGATTGTTAGAAAAGAGAAAGAGCCTTTTGGTGAGGTGTGTAGCAAATGTCATCTACTCAGCTAAAACTTGACTGAGGGGGCTGGAGCAACAGCACAGCGGGGAGGGCATTTACCTTGCACGCGGCCAACCCGGGTTCGATTCCCAGCATCCCATATTGTCCCCTGAGCACCACCAGGGGTGATTCCTGAGTGCAGAGCCAGGAGTAACCCCTGTGCATCGTCAGGTGTGACCCAAAAAAAAAAGCACTTGACTGAGTAAAATATGTCATTTTTCCATTGTCTTATTTTTTAAGATTTTTGGTTTTTGTTTATGGGTCCACACCTGGCAGTCCTCGGGGCTTACTTCTGGCTCTGTCATCATGGATCACTGATGGTGGTACTTGGGGTACCATATTGGACGTCAGGGATGGCAGTGTGCAAGTTAAACGCCCTACCCACTGTACCATATAGCTCCAGCCCAAGAATTCATTTTTCAGGGTGGAGAGATAACTCATTGGGCTGAGTATATGGTCCCCAGGTACCCGAACACAACAAAAAAAAATTTTGTTTTGCCGGAAGGAAGTTGTTAATGGGGGCTGGCAGAGATTCTTGGTGCAATAAGTTCTTAGTGAATTGCTGGAATAGCTGGCTTTCTTGGGTAGACTCGAAATTGTACTTGTCTAGGCCCTCTAGGTGTATAATCGTTTTCCAGAAGGAGGTCCTCCTCAATAGCTGGCATCACTGTGTAGTGGAAGAGGCCCTTGGCATTAGGAAGGAGGCTGGTGTGTGACAGTGTTTGCACAGCCATTTTGCCTTGGGCACTATCCCCAGCACAGTCACTATCTTATTGTGGAGCCAGGCAAGCCCCATGCGTTGGGCCTTTTAAGGTCAAAGATTTTTTTTAATTTCTGAATTATGGGATACATTATTATTATTATTATTATTATTATTATTATTATTATTTAATTTTTATTAGTGAAACACTGTGAGGTACAGTTGTAGACTTATAAATTTTTGTGCTTGGGTTTCAGTTATACAGTGATCGAGTACCCATCCCTCCATCAGTGCCCATTTATGATTTTTAAAAGACTTTCTTATCGGGGCTGGAGCAATAGCACAGTAGGTAAGGCGTTTGCCTTGCACGTGGCCAACCTGGGTTCGATTCCCAGCATCCCATATGGTTCCCTGAGCACTGCCAGGAGTGATTCCTGAGTGCAGAGCCAGGAGTAACCCCTGTGCATTGCCGGGTGTGACCCAAAAAGAAAAAAAAAAAACAAAAAAGACTTGCTTATCCTAGGATTATGAAGAAACTTTCTAGAAAGTTTTCTAGAAGTTTCATTATTTACAGTCACTCACATATTTGAAATACAAGTATAACTTATCCTTTGTTTTGGGGCCTCATCCCATGATGCTCGGGGACTACTTCTGTCAAGGAGCTAGGATGAGTGGGTTTGGATTGGGTGTGATCACTTATAGCAGTGCTAGGATTCTAACCTCAGGCTCTCTCTGAGCCATTTTCCCTGGCCTCTATTGTTCATCATTGTGCCAAATTTTATACTATATTTTGTAGTACAGATTTAGAAGATTTGGTTCTTTCCTATGTTTTTGTTTCTTTGTTGAGAACTATGCTGTTCTTCACTTCATAAGTATTTCTTGGTGCTGGAGCAATAGTGCAGCAGGTAGTGCACTTGCCTTGCACGTGGCCAACCCGGGTTTGATCTCCAGCATCCCATGTTGTCCCCTGATGATCTCCAGGTGTGACACAAGAAGTTAAAAGAAGAAGAAGAAGAGAGAAAAGAGAGTATCTTTGTCTCATGCAGCATAGGTAAAGGTAAAGGCCCTCCCGTTGTTCATCGATTTGCTCGAGCGGGCCCAGTAACGTCTCCATTGGAGACTTTGTTGTTACTGTGTCTGGCATATCGAATACATCACGGGTGGCTTGCCAGGCTCTGCCGTGTGGGTGAGATTCTCTCAGTAGCTTGCCGGGCTCTCCGAGAGGGGCGGAGGAATCGAACTCGGGTTGGCCATGTTGGCTGCGTGCAAGGCAAACACCTTACCGCTGTGCTATCGCTCCAGCCCCATGCAGCATAATTAGAATAAATTCATTGATATCTTTGATAATTCCATCATGAGATTGGCATGTATTTGTTTTCTTTGCTTTTGAGAAGTGTTCATTTTTTGTATTTCACAGTTAGGTACTTTCAGATTTTTTTCTTGGAACTGAATAGTTTATTGTTAGGCTCTGGGTTCTGTTAATCTGATGAGATTCAATCCACAAATTGTCTTACCTTCTATAACTGTTCAGTTTAAAATAAGTAAGCCAGGTAGGTAGCTTTGAGGTCAGGGGCTTGTGTCTTGCATGTGCACAGATCTAGTTCGCTCCTAGCAGAGCATAACACTGCTGAGCCTAAGCAAAAATCCGTTTCCTGGCCCTTGAATTGAACTTTCTGACTCAGTTGACTAAGTGGTAACCCCAGATCCTCTTGACCATGAGTGTGGAAAGATTGGACTGCAGCTGAATCTCACGAAGACTGTTTATGAAAAACGGACTAGTTCCTGACGTTCCATTTGCTCTCAACTGAATGAGCATCTCCGAATGCAGCAGTTATGTGCACCTAGGCTGAGAACTCAACATGAGGAACGACCTGCCACCTGAGCTGTGCAGGAGGAAGAGAGCAGCATGGAACGCATTCAAGAGCGTCATAGAAATAGCTAAGAGAATGAAGAACCTACAGCTCCAGGCACATCTCTTCAACTCCACCCTTCTCCCTGCACTAAAGTACGCCTCAGAGACCTGGGCCCTACAAAAACAGGATGAGAACACTATTCGGGTCACCCAAAGAGGAATCAAAAGAGCTATGCTTGAGGAAGGTCCCCTCTATACCCATTTTGGCTAGGGTTTTCATCATAAAGGGGTGCTGGATCTTGCCAAATGCTTTCTCTGCATCTATTGATATAATCATATGCTTTTTATCTTTTCTTTTGTTGATATGATGGATTATGTTGATTGATTTTCGAATGTTAAACCATCCTTGCATCCCTGGGATGAATCCTACTTGGTCATGGTGTATGATCTTTTTGATGAGTAGTTGGATTCTATTTGCTAGTAGTTTGTTGAGGATCTTTGCATCTGTGTTCATCAGGGATATCGGCCTGTAATTCTCTTTCTTTGTGGTATCTCTGTCTGCTTTTGGTATCAGTGTGATATTTGCTTCGTAGAAACTGTTCGGAAGTGTTTTTGATATTTCAATTTCGTGGAAAAGCTTAAAGAGCATTGGGAGTAAGTCCTCTTTAAAGATTTGGAAGAATTCACTAGTGAATCCATCCGGGCCAGGACTTTTGTGCTTGGGGAGACTTTTTATTACCATTTCAATTTCCTTGATGGTGATAGGTCTGTTCAGGTATTCCAGGTCTTCTTGGTTCAGCCTTGGGAGTCTGTAGGAGTCTAGGAATTTATCCATTTCCTCGAGGTTTTGATGTTCCGTGGCATAAAGCTTCTCAAAGTACTCCCTGAGGATC